TGTGGTCACTCTGACAGCTGCTGAAATATAAGCTTAAGCAAAACACATCACACTTGTGTATGTTTGAGAAGAGTAATTTATCAGAAACACAATAAACTCCAGCTGGGAATAAGCAGGATGTCATTCTCTCAAAGGCCATTATAACTTGGATGTTAAAATTGAGATTATTTTTTTTAGCACGAGTAGAATTTATATTGGATCAAATTAGTTTTGGTGTGTCCACGAATCATTCCATTTTAATGGAGTTTTATCAATTTATATCAGCAAATGATTAATGCCATTGGCACCATGCCCTCACAGGTTTCAAAACTGCTCCTGTTTACACGTGCTGGAATATTCCCTTTAGTTATTGTGCCATTTTCAAACCTTGCACCATGTTGTAGTTTTTTGGATACAACGCCATGCAGTAGCACTTCTTGCAGAGAGTGAAGAAGGTTAAAGGCAGACTTTGCTGACAAATAAAGATTACAGAGTATTTCTCTAAGCTCTACATTTAGGACAGCCAACTGAACAGAATTAGTGCTCATACTGGTAATGGTATCAAATTATTCATTTCATCAGTACCACACTTAGCCTTTTTCTTACCGAGTGGAATAAAACACTCCTGCATTTACACTGACAGCATTTTACGGATATTAACCTCACAGAAAAACTTTTTAGGTGTCTCAGGATGTTTTTGTTCTTCTCAGCTCTGCTTTTCTCACATCTTTCTGATTATTTCTCAGGTTTTGTGTTCTCTGCTTTACGACTTCTTCAGTCCAAACACATTACAATGCACACACACAACAGTGTGGAATGTTATACAGCCATGAAAACACTCTCTGTACACTGCAAACACTCCATTATGTATGATTCAGCTTTAGTTAAAAAGACAAGGGATACTGTGTGCATGCTGCTTGCTAAAGCTAAGGCTTGCTGGTATTTTCACCCACAAACTTTGCTTTTGCTCCCCTTTCCAAAGAACAGGCTGGAAAATTGTTCTGCTCCCAAATACTGCTGTGCACTCTAGCTGATAAATAATATGTTTTTAATGACAACTATTCTATAGGCAGCTAAGCAGGAGAATTATCCAGGGTGGTGCTTTCAAAGGCAGATTTTATTCACCTTGATTGAACTCAGAGGAAAGTTTCTGCTTTCATGCCATTTGAAACCTAACACATGCACTTAAAAATAATCAAAAGATCCATCTAAACCAACAGGAATCCACAAGGCAATGGACAAGTATCTGGACCTTTTATGGACAGGTATCACTTGCAAACGTTTCCAAGGATTGGGAAGCAAGCCTTGTCTGCCACATGGGTACTTACTGACCTCATCACACTGGTTTAACAGGCAAGGCACGCTGGAAAAGCCTTCTCCTAGTGTGCTTGCTGAGGAGAGATTAATGGAACTGACATTTTTGAGAGCAAAGATAAAGCTGAGAGTCAAGAGGAACAGATCAAAACATGGATCAGCAATCCAGAACATGACCAAAGTATTTTCTTCTATACTGCTTTTATTCCCTATATTTCCTGTCCAGAACTACAGATTTACATGAGATTTTGTCTACAAAACGTAGGGAAGGCAGGACCTTGAGCAAATACTATGATTTTCTGTGTTCAGAGTTGGGACTTCCTGCTGGACAAGACAGGATAAGAGAAAGAACAATTACACTTCTCAGAGTTTTGACACTCAAAGCTGCTACTAAATTCTGGGTGACTGACAGCCAAGTGAGAAAATTGGCATTCCCTTCCAAGAGAAATCCCTGCATAGCCTAATGAAATATTATTTTAGTGTATTCCTTTTCTGATTTGAAAAACAGGATTGACAAATGTCTAAGGAGACAAATCAAGCAACAGAAAAGACTAAAGTTTGGCAGAAAATGCAAATGCTGTTTCTATCCTGGATCCATTCTAAGTGCTTCCACTTGAGACAGAAACTTCAGCTGAGTGCTTGCTGCTGAATAACACCCAAAAGTCATGGCCCCTATAGTCAGAATCCAAGTCTTTTTTATAGCTAAATATAAAACCTGGTTTTGAGTACAACAGAATTCCTCACTTGCATGCTATAGATGCTTCTAGAACGAATACCTGCTGACTGCAGTCAATATTGCCACTAATGTCAGGGAGATTAGGCCTAGAACTTCATTTCCCTGCACTTAAAAGTTCCCCTGCTCTTCTGTGCTTTGTAGGTTCTTAGTTTAAATAGTGCTGTGCTTAAAAGAACCCAGAAGCACTTTAAAAACCTGTTTGCAAATGGGTGTCTTTAAATGCACAAAGCATTTGGTGTCCTTTGTGCTTATAACATCGCTCAGAGATGTTGCACAAAAGTAATAAATAATAAATCAGTTCTATTTTGCTAACAAATTAGATGAATTCATTAAAAAGCCCTAAGCTTTCAGAAATGCATCTATATTTTGCATAATCTCCTCGGATGTGATTTAGCAAATTAATCACTGAAGGTTTATGATTTCTTTTCCCCTGTACCTCACAACTAATGTGCTTATCTGTAAAACACAGCAGTGGCAAAGTGTAATTATCTTTAATAGCAATAGATGGAGAACCTGGCACACAGAGAAGCCAAGTTGTCTGCTTACAGATGGATCCGAGTTCGGTGTTCCCGAGTTCCAAACCACTTCCAGACCAGGAATTACTCAGTTCCCCAGAATGGCATTGCTGGGGAGCACACAGTAGGTACCAGGAGCAGAACACCAGGCTAAGATAATGACTTAAATGCTTTTGGGGAAGCATGGACTGAGGAAACCTGGGTCTCTGCACAACACCACAAAAACATAGCCCAGGTTTACAGCAAGTCAGAGCAAATGACTGGTCTGGGTCTCCCGGATCCCAAACTCATGGCATAATTCTTAATATAACCTTACTTAGCAACGATTTTATAGAGAGTTTAAAGATTTGCATCTCACTGAATTTGGGTCAATAAGAGCAGCACTTACTTGGAACTTCTGCTTAGTGCCCCTTAGGAAACCAGCATTAACCCATGCTATTAAAAAAAAGCATAATCCAGCAGGGAACACTTTGATCCTGAGACATTTGTCTCTTAAATAATATTTATGTTTAATTGATGGCTTTTAAACACTGCAACAAGCCATAAAAAGTGTTTCATATGTTTAGTGTTTTTAATACCAACTGTTGCAGCTGTATCTTGAGGAGACCTGATCCCATGCAGAGAGGTTTTAAGAGCAGTTTGTTTGGCCTAATGAGGTCTCTACTGAGGAATAAGCTGAGGAGCTCCTAGTGGACCATTTTATTAAACGGCCCTTTTTTAATACAAAAAGAAACAAATCAGATTTTCTCTTTCCCTTGGCAAGCTTTGAGCATCCACCCTTTCATCATTTGTTTTTCTTGATCTCTCCCTAGCCCTCTCCCCACAGCACACAACATAAGCCTTTGATGCCCCAGGGCTTTACCATGTCAGACACCACAGAATTCACACCAAGAGCTAATTAATTCACTGGGCAAACTGTGCTGCTGTGCCATGCAAAAAATACACAGAGTATCCTTTGTTTTTGGACAGCATCGCCAAAAAGATTGTCAAAAGGCATCATTACAAATCATAGCAGACATCTCAACATTCATTTTTAGTTCATGTGGCTCCCTTTGGTTATATTTACTGCTTCATCACAACCATATTAAAGCCATTAACACTGTGGGTGTATATATATATACATTTAGTTTTTGTAATCATTTCTATTTTTTAGCTGAAACACACTGTACTTCCCAGTGTGGAAAATTATATCTTTAGCACAAAAAGTCCTGCAGCACTTGACAGTTTAGCAGAAACCACTTGAAAATGTGAATGTTCAGCTCACACAGCTCTGTCAATAACAGCCCAGGATTTAGCTTGCACAGATGTTTTATATTGTTTGATAGGGAAAAAACACATCCAAGATTACAGCTTACATTTTTAGCAAGATATCTGTGCAAAGTCCTGGATGTAATGTCAGCACACTTCTGGCTGTGACTGGTACATCTGGCTACACTTAGTGTGAACTAATATCTCCTCAGCCAAAGAAAACAAAAAGAGGTGTTTTGAGAGAGCTCTGCTCTTCTCAAAAAGGCACCACAAGCTCTTACTAAAAGGTCCAATAATCAAACAATTAGAGAAATGCTAAGATTTGATTTTTACATTTATGGGCAGCCCCTCAATAACCCACCCAAAGAGTGACAGTTCTTTACACTGCTGTACCTGACAGACCCCAGCATTACCCTCAGACAGCAGCAGCTGGCTGATGCCAGTAAATCCCACAGGAATTCCTGTCATTCTCCAGGCAATGGCAGCATAGAAGCCTCCAAAAGTGATTAGGCAAAAAGAGCTGACCCAAAGAACTGAAGATGCAACAATCACTTGAAAGCTGCATATTTGCTCATTCTGGCCAGTGCAGTTGAATTTGTCCCACTTCATCCCAGGGCTAACAAAAACCTGAGGAGCTTAAGGGCAAAGCTGAAATACTTGCAAAAATGTGGTATAATAAGTCATACACTGGTAAAATTGCTCACTGGGAAGAAGATAGCACATATGCTGGCAGCGTATTCCCACCAAAACAAAGACAAAGAACTGGTCAATACTTGAAAATTAGTTTTAAAAGAAAGAAGAATATTTCACATGAATTTATTTTGAACGATTCTAGGAAATGCTGCAAATAAATTCAAATAATGGATTCTTCTGAGAACACCCCCAGGGACCAGCAGGCATATTTATTTCTTTCTTCCTCTGCTATCCTCCCCTTCTTTCCACTCAAGTGCCATTGCTCCCTGGGTTAATTCCACTTAGTGGACCTTCAGTTGTTACATAAAATGCTTTGAATATATTTGTTCCAGGTTTTAAACTTACTGTAGTTCAAAATGTGAGACTAATAAAAAAAAAACTAAAAGGTTGACCCTGGTGTTAAAGGGTGACATAAATGGCAGATACCTCCCAAAAGCTAATTCTGTTTATTGGCGAGACCTTTGGCAGGGCCATCTCCCACCCCATGCAATCCACATACCTCAATTAGGATGTTCCAATAGGCAGAATTCCCTTTTCCTTCTGAAAATTCCCAAAGATTCATTGGGAATTTTTCTTCAGGATCCAATTAATAGCCCCTGGAAATACAAAAATACATCTATTTTAGCATTTATTGCTAAGGCTCCCTGAAGTAATTTCTGTTTAACTGCTACACTTTGAAGAGCTACTTCTGATCACACACAGCAGAAACAGATTCTTCAGCTTTTTTAATCTGGATATGAAACCTTGCAATCTGTTAATATTCTATAAACCAACAATACCTGTTCCTAGTTACTAACGAGACATTCAAAACAGGTTTTTATGGAATGGAGTTCTTGTAATTTCTTCGAATTAAGACAGGAGCTCCTGTGGTCCTGCACAACTTAATAAACTAAGTTTCTTAAAAAAAAAAAAAAAAGGAATCTTTTACCCCTAAATGAGGCTTAATCTGTAACACTTAAAATTTTAACCATTTTAGGTGTTGTTTTTTTTTAAATTTACCAGTCATAGTTTGATCTAATTTTCAGCAAAACAACTAGTCCCTATAATCATCTAGTTGTCCTCTAACATTTCCAAGTGGTTTTAAAAGCAGGCTTCAAGTTTTTATTGCCTCAGCCCATTTAAAATGAACAAAACTTCTCAGATCTCCATTTTATTAGTGCAACCAGTCACCATCATTTCAAGCATTAAAAAACCTGCTAATAATTACACAGGAAAGAGCTACAGTTTTAAATAATTTGCTCTACAAAAACAAACCAAAAATACATTCTTTGCTTAATATTCAAAACAAATCTAAGATTGGTGTTGCAGACTACAAGAAAATACAGTTTTAGAGGTAAAATTCCAACCCCCTGCCACGGGCAGGGACACCTTCCACTGGACCTGGTTGCTCCAAGCCCTGTCCAAGCTGGCCCTGAACCCTTCCACAGCTTCTCTAGGCAACCTGTTTATGATTCTGTGCTAAATTTATGGGTTTTACCAACAAAACAGTATTTGTGCCTTTAAAGATCTTGTCAAAAAACTTCAGTTTTTATCAGAGATCTTATTTTATTCAGGTTTTTTCCCTCCCGCTTCCCTTGGCAAGATAATTTCCATTATGGATTTTCACATAAAGGCAGGTAGGGGATGTTGAATTGGAGTTGCAAGTGGAAGAATTGGTAATACTGAGGAAGTTTACATTATTGACTTGGCCCTAAACATCGTATTTCAATAAGAACTACATTTTTACAGCAAAACTCTGCCTCGAGAACAATATGAAAGGTAAAGACAAGATCTATACTCATTTTAAGGATGAATTTTAAGCTTGTTTATGTTTTTAAGGGGTCTGACTTCATCTCCTCCCATTGTATATCTTATATTCGTGTAGAACAGGATAGTGTAAACCCCAAGTGCTGTATAAACAATGGATAATGAACAAATATAAATAATCAGTCTCCAACAACTGTATTATGATTTCAGTAGTTACCTGGAAACCACCCTAGAAAACATCTGTGCAGAACTACAGTGACAGAGACATGCAGAAATTACATTTCCTTTCCCCCTAATTAGACCCTATCAAGCCCCATCTCTTCTGCAGAACATAATGAAGGATCATTAGCAGGAGTGGGATCCTGGCTGACAGAACTGTTGAACTGCTGTTGATTTATGATGCAGACTGTGCCTGTGTCTGCTCCATCCATTGTGAGCCTGCCTGGGTTTGTCTGCCTGTCTCCAGAGCCAGGCAGGAGGCGGTGGCACCGAGCAAAGCCAGGCTCAGCTGCCTGGGCAGGCAAGTTGGGCAAGCAGGGATGGCACTTGAGGCACTGCAAGTGGCTCTCTAGGATCTCCCCAGAGCCTTCTCCTCTCCAGGCTGAACACCCCAACTCTCATGCAGAGTCATACTCATGTATCCCGTATGGACATGACCCAACATATCCACAAATCTGGTTTCCTGATTACTTCTAAAATATTCCAGCCAACCCAGGAGTGTCAAACACTTCCACAGGGAAACGGAGGTCCTGGAGACATGACTGAAACATTCGTGCCTCTGGGTCGTTCTGCCACTAAATCCTGCTCGTTGCCACAATAATCTCTCTCAAACTGAGAGATTTCAGCACGTTTTTCCAAAGTTAGTAAGCATTCCAACGAATTTCAGTAGTTTAAGTTAGTTGAAAGCAAATGTTTAGGTCTTGTTGAAGCCCAAATAAAATGTGTGACTGCAAGCAGAGCAGTAAAGCAGGGGGAGAAATATGAGGCAAATATTTGACTTAACACATATCAACCTAAGGCTAAGTTTATTAAAAAGCACCTCTCCTGCAGGGAATGGATTAAAATCACACCAAACACAAGGCATTCTGCGTGTGCTCCACAGACACAGTTCTCATCACACAAGGGCCAAGGTGGGGACGGGGAAAGAAGCTCTTGAAGCACATTAGGAATGGCTCAGAAGTCAAACCACAAAATGCAGGTCCATAACCCCCATAAAGGTAGAATAAAATGCAAGGGGCTGTGTTAAGTCACTTATGCACCCTATACTTCCTTTGCTGTGGTTCAGCTGGCAGCAGTGAGCCCACAGCTCAGCCTGTCACAGAGAAACAGCCACTGTCAGGCACTGCTCATATTCATACAGGAGATGTATAATATGCTGCTCTCCTACCTAACCTACTCATTAAACCACCGTGGAAAATTACAGCAGTTGGGAAAGAGACCTCTGCAGTATTTGGAAAACAGACTTGAATGAGTTTCCAAGCTACTGTTCCCATTTGTCTGCAATATTGCTGTAAATGAAGGAAAGGCTCTAAGTTGCACACAATTCCTCTGTCCCTCTGTAACCTTTCAATCCAGCTGCCTCATAAAACCAAGGACAATTAATTTCCAAACTGTTGATGGTGCTGCACCAACAAATGTTCATATTTTAAGGTAGCTCAGCACACTTGCATCCAGAATCAAATATTTACCGGTCTAAGCCTTTGAAGATCAATGTGCAAGTCCCAGGTAATAAAAACTTGATTCCCATGTGGTTTATTACACCAGTGGCATACGTGAAATTAGCCTCATGAGAGAAGCCCCCAGGATTTCTGCTGTAGTCTGAGAGGTGAAGATGGGACACAGTGAGTTCATACTGACCTCTGTTGCCCTTGAGGAACATGGGACCCACTCCCTAGGTTATCACTGCTTTCAGTATTATTCCTTTTGGTTTTAATCCTCTTTTTACATTGTTCTTCCTTTATTCCATTCACCTTCTACACACCCACTTCAGGTCAAACTGCTGTTCCTTCTCAAGCTCACCATATCCAATTCACAGGGTAAATAAACACAGCAGAAGATGGACAGTAGAACAGAGAAAATACAAGCCAAATAATGGAGTTACGTTCTTGTATTTGTTTCATGTGCTTTCCCCCCCCCCCTTTCTTCTCATTTGTTTTATTTTCCCCCCTGCTGTAGGCCTGGGATTTCCCTTTTTAGAAACACCACACTCAATTTTTGATGTACAAAATGACCAGAGTGATTAGTCAGTAATGAAATGCCTTCAAAAGCATCTCCCTGCCTATATAAAAAGATGCCCCCCAGACAGCTGGGGATGGATCCTGCCATCGATTTCCTCCCTTCACACAGAATATCAAACCAATGCAATGTTCTCAGTCACCATTGTTACTGTGGCAGCATTCCCATGAATAAGGACAGGTGGGTTATGTTACAGCAGTCATTTCTCCAGGTATAGAGGAGCTCATTGGGCCTGAATGCACAGTAACAACTAACACTCTCCTGCAACTACAACAGCACAAAAGCACCTGAGCAGCTTTTCTCTGTCTGGAGACAGATCTCTCTTGTTTCTATAGCAAAACAGAAGTAGCTCTCAATTTTTGTATAATCACTCTCACACCTCAAGTGAACAGATACAACACTTGTGCTTTCCTGCTCTGAGATCAGACTAATCAGGCTACAGATGTTTTTATTAATCCTTCTCAGGCTCCTCGGCTGAGAGCAGTCGACAGCTCGCAGCCTGCACAGAGCTCGGGCACACACAGCGTGTGCAAATGGCTGGTGCAGCTCAGCAGAACAGCCTCTCTGAGGCTTTCAGGAGCAACCTCTGTCTAAAGCCAAGCAGCATAAAATACAGCTTAATTCAGACTGTTCCTTGGATAGTAGAAGGAATAATTAATGGGAGCAGTTATTAGGGAAGAACACAGCCAAGCTCATTTGCATCGACGGTCCTCTGCCAAACTCTTCACATTTGTGATAAATCCTGATTTCTAGGCCCTTTTAGAGTCCCTTTGCGTGAGCACTGTGAAGGGCAGAAGAATAAATAAAAAATGAGAAAGGCTGAAATATAAATTCATTTTAATGTGAGGAGTGAGACATTTTTAGGTACATTAAGTTTCATATGGAGCATGAAAACACGAAAAGACGCCCTGAAATTTTGTTCTGGTTTGATTACAGTGTAAACCCCTCTCAGAAGAGGTCTCAAAATAATTGATGCTGAGGTTACTGAAGATTTATCCATAACATAATGCAAAGTATCTTATGAACTTTCAGTTTCTTGGAGCTGCGTGATCAAAGTGAGCTAAATCATTAATTTGCTTTTGTAAGGAAATGTGTGAGACATCTGCTGGCAGCACATGCAAAAAATACACATTTTTTTTTGCTGGTTAATGGAAGAGCAAAGACTGAAGTCTAGTTCAAAACCCAGTAAGGTTAGCAGAATGGGTCCTGTCATCTTCAGTGAGTTTTTCCTAATCAGACCCCTAATATTTAAGAGGTTCAGAAGACAGCAAGCATGCTTGAATTCTCCTTTTTAATTTTATATTCTTTTTCTCTGGTTAGAAGACAGTTTCAAGTGGAGTCATGCTGACAATGTACTGGAAGCACATTAAAAAATGGAAACAAACCACCCAGCTCTGCACACACATTTCAGTTTTCTGACCTACTAATTTGAAATTAATTACCATCTGCATAATAATGAATGAAAAGCTCAATGAATTCTTTCAAAACCACATCAAACTAACAGCCTGCATACATTCTATTAACTGGTATGGTGTGTTAGACTGACATGGATACTTTCAGCACCTTGAACTAGGTATAGAAACACAAGTTCACCAGCAAGCAATGGGAAATTGTC